GACCTCGGACCTGTAAAAAAACACTCTTCGTGCACTGGATGGATGCCATAGCCCTAGGACTGACATTGGCACCTCCCACAACACCGCTCATGGCTCTCACTCGCTCTCACCCCCACTAGCACGCGACTTCGACCTCGAACGCGCCCGGGGCTTTTTGGCGTCCTTGTCTATCTCGAAGGCTGAGGAGGCGGAAGCCTTGCCCGCACGTTTGAAAGGAGCTCTTCTAGGGCTGGTGGATCTTCTAGCTTTTCCCGCTTCGGGGTCCACCTCCATCTCATCAGCGGAGGAGGCGGAAGTCTTGCCGGCACGTTTGGCAGTAGCTCTTCTAGGGCTGCGAGATCTTCTGGCTTTTCCTGCTTCCGAGTCCACTTCCATCTCGTCGGCCGACGAGGCGGAGGCGGAGGCTCTGGCAGCGCGTCTGGCAGCGCGCTTTTCAGCCCGGAGAGCTCTTTTGGCGTTGCGATCCTCATCGGACTCGTCGGTTGGGAGGGAGGAAGCTCCGGCAGCGTGTCTGGCAGCGCGCTTCTCAGCCCTTGCGGCTCTGCTGGCACTCATTTCAGCTCGTTCAGCGGCCCTTTCAGCTCGTTCATTGCTGGCATCCACAACCATCTCTATCTCGTCAGGCGAGGAGGCAAAAGCTTGGGCAGCGCGGTCGGCAGCATCTTTGGCAGCCCTAGCGGCCTTCCCAGCATCTTCAGCCTTGTCAGCAGCCGCTTCAGCTCTTTCAATGCTGCTATGCACATCTAGCTCTACCTTTTCGGCTGCGGCGATGGAAGCTTGGGCAGCGCGTTCGGCGGCAATTCTATGAGCCCTGGCGCCCTCTTGAGCCAATTGAGCCTTTGCAGCGGCGCGTTCGGCCTTTTCAATGCTGACATCAATCTCCGTCTTGTCGGCTGAGGAGGCTGAAGCCGTGAGAGCACGGTTGACAGCCTCCTCAACTCTTATCCCAACTCTTCTAATAATTCTAGGGTTTCCATCTTCCTGAGCTGTTCCAGCTTCTGCAACGACATCCATCTCATCAGCCGAGGAGACGGAAGCCTTGCGGGAACGGTCGGCAGCCATCTCAACTCCTTCGATTCCTTCAGCTTTCCCATCCTTTCCGTTCTTTCCAGCCTCTCCAGATGTTCCGGCCTTTCCAGGCTTTTCAGCTTGTGTGACCACATCCATCTCATCAGCCGCGGAGGCGGAAGCCTTGCGGGAACGGTTGGCACTCCAATCTCCAATTAGCTTAAAGTTTCTAAACATTCCAGCCTTTCCGGTCTTCTCGGTCTCTTGAGTCTTCTTGTTAGCCGCCTTCAACTTCGAATTCTCTTTCTTTGCCGCCTTCAACTTCGAATTCTCTTTCTTTGCCGCCTTCTGCTGCTGAGCCTTCTCCGCAGATTCTGCTGCAGCTCTCTCCAGGATCGCAAACAGCATCTCCATGGCCGGTACATAAGCTTGGAGGACGGGGAAATCTCCGACACGGAGGCGCATGTAGTCAAAGGCGTTGACGTAGGGCCCGTTGTACTGGGTGCTGGGCTTGGCAATGATCACACCGCCGGCGTCTTCGTTCGAGCCCTCGAGCTGGGGGCTGCTCTCCTCAGCCAGCCCTTCCTCATCATCAGGGACGTCCTTGGTTCGCAAGCTGGCAGAGCTGTCCGAACCTGCTTCATCCTGGGCCTTCTGCGAAGACTGGCCGTTGTTCATTGTGACAGTTCCCTGGTAGCGTTGGCTGAAGTGGGTGAGGAGGAGGGCCCGGGCTTGCATCTGACGCGCGACTTCCAAGGCTTCGGCGTACGTGGAGTGTTTCTTAGCTATCGCGCTCCCCGCCATGTCGTTTTGAAAAGTGGCTTCGTGGATGAGAACCGTCGAGCCGCGGCCTGTAGCTGCAAAGTTCTCGGAGGGACGGCAGTCGCCGGAGAAGGAGAGCTTGAAGCCATCGGGGTACACAAGGGTCACAGCCATGGATCCACGGCAGTGTGAAACTCGGGACGGTAGGATGTCGGAAAGGCCGATGGCTTCACGGAGAAGAGCCGAGAGGGGGTCCGAATCATCCTGGAATCGAAGCTTGGTTGTTTTGGGTTGGGATTGCGCCTCCCGTTGCCCAGGGAAGGTACCGTCGGCGCGGCAGTGACGATAAACAAATGATGTCTCGTAAATACCACTTCGGATCTGTTCGGGAAAAGCGCTCAGAGCCGTCACCTTTTGGAAGCCGTAATCCTCGACACTGGCATATTCCTCGAGCCAAGTAGTCATCATTTGTTCGCACACAACGAACAGGCGCTTATCCCGTAGAATCTTGGACATGTCTTCCTCGATCACGTCAGTCCGTGGCACGCCATTGGGATAATTTGCCTGATACCAGGCCTTGATCACATTCGCAATACCAAGGTGGTGGTCAGCGTGGAGATGACTGATCCAAATCATCCGCATATTCTGGAAAACTTCGCGCAATGCCTTAGTTCCAAAGACGCGCTTGAGCTGCCCAAGAGTGCCCTCGCCGCAGTCGAGTAAGTAATAACCATGGCCTGGTGCGTGAATGAGCGTGCTGGAGACATTTCGATGCTTGGATGGTACTGATGACCCAGTTCCGAGAGTAATGATTTCGACGTCAGCACCAGGAAGGTCCTTTCGGAATGCTGCCAGTTTATCCTGGAACTCGGGAGTTTCTTCCTGTCCAGAAATTATTTTCATTTGAGTCTCGACGGCCTTCGGCAACTTTTCCTTCGCGTTTCTGGGATCATAACGAGGAGTAATTTCAGATTCATCGATCTCGAAAGTGGGTTCCATGTTGATAATCAGGCCCGGCTCTAGAGGTCGCAAGGGGGCACGTTTTTTCGTTGGAGGATCATTGAAGAGCCTGACTTGTGGAACAGTCACATTGTCATAGGCAGGCAGGGCATAGTTGTCGGGCCTGACCATGGCCATCTGCACCGTCGACTCGGCAACCTCTTTCATGGCCAGGTAATCGGGACAGTAATCGGGACTGGAGACCGTATGCGTGCAGTGCGACATCTTCGCGACGAATTCGCGAAGCTTGGGATGATCTCCCACACGTGGGCCCAGGATCCAGATGAAAGCTTCCAGATTCAAGGCCGCCGTAGGTGAGTCCCACTCAGGGCGGTTGACCAGGTTCTCCACATAGGCTCGCGAGGGCAAATCTATGATTGCGACACCTTTGCCAACCTTTTCCTCATCAAGAACCATATCGGGCGTGATAATTTGACCATCCTCTGAGATAACGCTATCACCTCTGGTCAGCGTGGCGTAATCCGGGCCTCTACGGACCTTCAGAGCCTGAGCCTTGAGAGGGTCAAACTTCCCTCTAATGTTGTGGTTCCGGACGATGTAAGAGATGGCGTCTTCGTTCCAAGACACGGGAGGAATCCTCTCCACATTGGCACCAGGCCAAGGTTTGCGCACCAGCACGGTAATGTCAGGAACTGGCGTGCGGCCTCCAGGAGTCGGGCCGGTGTACCGTCGCAAATCCTTGGTTACCGGGTCCCTGACAAACATGAGTCCGGGCATCTGCACGTCTTTTAATTTAGTCTCATGTAAGGCATCCAGTTTCCATGTCGAATTAAACATGTTCGACACCACATTTTGCCTGATAACCTGTTCGGCTAGCGCCGCAGCCTTCTCCTCCTCGACCCCCGCTTTGTCCTCCTCGCGAAACTCCTCATGGCTGCGCTTCCTTGTGCGCTTGGCCTTAGGCTGAGAATGAGACTCAGGGCTCACGGCCATGACCCAGACCTTGATATTCTGATCTGACCACGTCGGTTGTTCGTATGGGTCTGGGAGACCCCCACGCTGTCCAGCCAGGCTGTCCCCATCATGTTCCTGCATATACATGGGTAGACCCTGGCGAAAGATGAATTTGCGCGCAGTAGCCATCAGGTGCGTGAGATTTTTCCCGCCGTGAACCGTCAGGGTCCCTCTCTGCGCGATCCGCTTGCTTCCCGGCTGTGAAATAGGCAGTCCATCTGCCTTCCCCTCAGCGGAGTCCTGCTTCGGCCTCTGCTGCCGCTGGTCTGCCTCTTTCTTCTTCTGCTTCTCCGATAAATTGGCTGCTGCGCTGGCCAGTCCATCGGCTAGCGTGAGGATGACGCCGAACAGCCCTCCCACGTTGCTCATCTCCAACCGGCCCGTGAGGAAGATGTCGGTCATGAGACCGAACTTGACCGACGTTCCCGCGCATGCTCGCTGCGTTCCTTCGGCGACCTGACCGAAGAGGTAGCGTTTATCGGGGAAGTTGAGAACGACCGCGCTGCCCGGGGTGTCGGCCGTCGGCGTAGTTACCACTTGATAGTAGTACTTCATGGGATTGATTTTGTCTATCGAGGGGTCTGAAATGAAGCCTTTGATTGGGTTGTCTTGGTGCTCGTAGAAAATGTACTGGTGAGTGGATCCGGGATCAACGAGGCGAGGAACGGGGAGGAGATGCCTTGGTTCGAGTAGACTTCTATATCTGAGGTTTGATCGAAGGGCCGGGTGCAGTCGTTGGGAGTAGTATAGGTGACGAGTGTTCCGGAGGCGTACGATGGAAGGAAGAATGGTAGATGGAGGAGATATCGACGTGAAGCCAACTCGTGGGGAAGCGCTGGCGGTCGGCCTCCTAAGGAGTCGGAGTGAAGCCAGTGTGATTGATTCTGGAACAAAAGCGAGAATGAATACTAATGAACATGCGCCAGACCTTTGGCAGTCATAGTCTTCAGTCTTGAAGTCTCAGAACTAAAGAAGGACGCCGGGGGTAGGCCGATTGTCCGACTATGATGACTTGATTGATGAAGGAGGAAAGGCAAAGCAGAAATTCACAAAAGCTGCCGCGGCGATCGGGTCGGGGAAAAGCTCCACCCGCACTGCTTTCCATCGAACTAATTGGCCAAGTGACCACCTTATCTTATATACTAACTTAAGTTACGATACATACGGTAGCACCAGGTACCTACAAATAAAAATACTTCTAACGACGACAGTCCAGACTTCTTTCCAATCATATTTACAGTATATTTGATAGAAACTTTTGGATATGTTCTGTATTGAATGCCTTGTGTTTCCTTATCCGCCAGTACCCAGTACCTTGCATCCTGTAAGTCCGTCCCTAGTAAAAATCGCATCCAAATAGACCAATCCGTATAACCCCATAAGCGCATTCGAGACCTCCAGCATCTAGAGGCATGTAATGAAGGCAAAAAAAAGAAAGAAAACAAATGGAAAAATGGGAAGTAAAGGAAACCCAGATTGAGTGCAAGCGACTGCATTCCAAGCAGATGATTGAGAGCTTGAGAAGAAAATCATTGACGAAAGAGAGACATCGGTGTCTACACCTGAGTATTTCGGAAAGCCAACCCACGAGCAGGCTTGCATCACGCAAAATTGTAAAATTCAAGTTGCAAAAAGGGGAATCATGAGAGGTGAGAAGTCATTAAGGAAACACGTTCAAAGGCGGCCTCCATACTGTGGCAGAATTGAGCAAACCGAGTGTCACAGTCCTGAGGCTGGTTCTCGACCACCAGCTCAAAAGTAGCTGTCGGTTTCTCTGAAATACTCCCAAAGGAGATCGCGGGAGAATCCGAGGAAGAAGCACGGGGCGCGTCCAGGAATAGGGCAAAAGCGGGATCGGACTCGTCAATCTTGACATCCGGGTTCTCGACGCCGACAGTGACGGGCGCCTTAGCGTCCACGGGCAGAGACTCAAGAACAGGAGCTTCACTCTTTGCACCAGAGTTGTTGGAAAGGCAAGACTCCATGAAAGTGAAAGACTTTCCAGATAAAGACTCAGAGTCGATAATGGGCTCAGGGACCTCCAGTACGGCGAAGACCGAGGCATTGCCGAAGTTCATATCAATGCCCGAGTTCCAACCCGCATTGTTCATGCCCATAGCGGAAGCATCAAGTCCCTGGTTTGGAACCATGACCATGCCAACCTGAGAAGGCTGTTGCATAGGTGGTTGTGACATGGTGGGTGGTTGTTGCTGGGGTTGCGGTTGAGGATGTGCTGATTGCTGTTGAGGCTGAGGCTGAGGCTGCGGCTGATGTTGGTGTTGAGGAAGTTGCTGTGGTTGCGCTTGGTTGGACATCGGGACACCGCCGACGCTGAGTTCGTCCAGAACCTGGCCGAAATGAGGCGAAGACAGGAGCGTGCGAACGAGGTCAGTCAGACGACCGTTCTCCTCGAATAGGGCACGGTTTTGAAGACGAAGCTCATGAGCTTCATTGGTTTTGGCGGCCACTTCACTTTCGAGTTGACCAATATATTCTGCGAATTCGATCAGCTACCAGCCTTCTATTTTTTTCTTCCAAAAAAAAAAAAAAGAAACCAAGTCATTGGTACATACCCTTTCTGCGAGAACGGAAGGCACGAGCGGAAACCTTATTGCGAAGCTGGCGACGTTCCTTGCTGCTAAGCTTCTTGCCCTCTTCACTGGCCAGGAGGCGCTCATCTTCATCCATATCCTGCTCGTCCTTTTTGGCCTTGGCCATCTGAGGCAGAGATGAAGGAGACGGCGAATCATCGGGGGAGCCCATGGCATTCTGGCGCATCTGCTGCAAAAGCCGCGAGATCCGCTCCTCTACCAGTGGGTTGGGTGGACGAGGAGTCTGGCTGTGAGGAGCCCCATGCTGATGCATATGCTCATCCAATCGACGCTGTTGCTGCTGGAATTGCTGCTGACGGAGGAATTCATGATGTCTCTGTTGTTGTGCCGCCTTGGCCATGGCAGCTTGCTGCTGGTGCATACCAGGATACATGCGACCCACTTGAGTGGAAGGACCAGCGTGAACAACCTCATGACCGCTCAAGGCGGTTGGATCCACGAATTGATTTCTGTTGTTAGGGTTCGGCGAAAGGAAGTAGGCCGAGGCGGTTCCCATATTGTCAGACTCCAGGTCCATTTCGGAAGGGTTCCGTGTCGGGGGACTGTTGAAATCCATCGGAGCATCTTCGCGCTTGATCTGACCACCAGCGAACATATCACCATTGATCGGGTAGTTGGGGCTTGCACCACCGAATCCCATTCCATTCATGTGGTTGAATGTCATGGCATGAGCTAAAGCGCCCGGGGGCAGACCGGTTTGTTGCTTATGTTCGTCATACTGGTGACTCGGGGCCTGAAACGCGACTGGCGTTGGGTTTGTCGAAGCGAAACCAGCACTTCGTACATCGCCTGCGTTGAATTCAGTACTGGGCAGAGTGGGTTGGGTGATGAGTGCGGTCTTTGATCGAGCAGTTTCCGCGGTAGTGTAAGCAAGTTGGTCTAGATTCAGGAACGATTCAATGTCTTGTTCATAAGTTGAAGGCGCAACAGCCGGGTGTTCCGCCAAGGTAGCCATGATGACGAAACTGTGGTTGGTAAGGAGGAAGCGAGACTGCAGTCAAGAAGACTCGTTGATAGCGATGGGATTGGAGTCTCAGTCAGTGTCAGTGTCGAATTCAAACGAAAGTCACAAGATTCGGATAAGGATAGGGATAACGAGAGACGATGAGGCGTGGTCGAGTCGAAGCGATAGTCGGAAAGGGCTCGCAGTCGAGAGATGGGAGAATGTGGTGTGATTGGGAGGGGAGATGTGAGGAAGCAAATGGGGGTATTGTACAAGAGTAAAAGCAGACTCAATGGGAAGAGGAAGAATGGGGGATCAGTATAGTAAGGTAGGGGGGATGTTGTGTGAAGGAGGAAGGCGGTGGTGGTGGAGAGATGGGGAGAGGGAATTAATGAGGGATACAGGCTAGTAGAGGTTGGCCCGTCTATGGGGATGGATGGAGCTGGCAACGAAGAGGGAACGGCTCCAGGAGACTCAAGTGAGAAGGACCAGGAATAGAAATCAGGTGTAAAAGGCTTGCGCGTCCTTCGATGACTCAGCGGCGCTGTTGCTCGGAGCCCCGCCCCAATCGAGATTTCCATTGGCTGGACAAAGTCAAGCCAGGGCTAGTGGATCCACCCTTGGCGCTAGGCTCCACCGAGAACAATTTAGCTCGTTCCACCGTTACTCTGCTGGTGGTGCTGGTGGTGCTGGTGAGCCGTTCACCCCTAGGAAGGGCAGAAAACAACCTTCAATAATCATAATCAAGACGAAATAACCTGATTGAGGTGAATAAAAAAAAGGTACCGTATGCATAGTAAATAGGAGATCTTCTGATAAGATTGCATGTTTATTTTGTTTACTACGGAGCTTGTATGCTCGTTTTGTTCTCTCTTACCTCTGGAATCAGTCTATCTGGCCTTTTGTCACATTGATTCAAGTCAAATGAGATCATGTCAACCATCGACTGAAAAATTGTCTGAAGGAAGGGAGAACTTAAACATACTCCTTCGTTAAGAAGGAATGAGGGCCTTCCAGTGCGGGAGGTATGTGCGCCCCCATCAAGTTTTTGCAGGGCCGTCCATCTTTCCTCCTCCCCTGAATGACTGTTCTTTCCCCCCCTTAAACTCTCTCGTAACCTCGCGCGACTGACGGGCCACGGCTTGTCGGCTTCACATTAACTTCCACTCCCCTGTGCCACTACGCCGCATCCAGGCGATTTTTCCGATTGACTGAAACGGCGGCCGAGGTGTACGATCTCAATGCCAGACATGCGGTGGCACCAATAGGAGATCCTTCGGCAACATCGTTCACATTCTGATCCAGATAAATCCTGACTTATGACGTTAGTGGCTCGATCGAACCAATGGCGATCATCCGTCGAGTACTCATGAAAAACTCCTTCAATCATCATACAGCTGTGGTGTACCGAGTAACTCTTTACTTAGTAAGAATCGCATTGGATAGATCGCAATTTCCAACACTTGCAAACCTATCCTGGTTTTCGAATGCAGTGGGACGTCGTCAAGCAAATCGACCACTACCGATGGGATGAAACCTGGGGTGATGGGGACCAACTTCCGGTCTCGAACCACGCAGTTGAGGACAATTCTGATTCCAACCAAGTATGCAACCTGTACATTGCGACAGCGCACCCACTCTCATGTATCCTCCAGGTGAGGTCAATGGAGTAATCCAACGAAGCTCATGAATCTCGACTCCCTCTTTAATTGTTCTAGTCCCCTACACGCCCTACACTGTAGTCTAAGGTCATCCAGGGAAATGGATTGTGGGTGGATAAACAGCCCTGCTGGGCCTTACCTGACCTGACCAAGTGTCTTTTTCCCAGTTCCCACTGAGAAAAGCTTGGCGGGTGAACGCGGGCCTAGCGGCTTAGCCACTCTGCACCATTCAGAAAATCGGCCCTTGACGCCCGTTTCGGATTAGGGCTAATTCTTGCTCCGTTCGCCCTCACGTATCGAATTTGCTCAACTTTTCCGGGCATGGGCGTCAATCTCGGCGCTATTGCTTTTTACTGGCACCTCTCCCGTCGCTTCGGGCCCCACTGCTCGTCTAGCAGCAGCGCAGAAGCCAGAAAATCCCGCCTACCCCTTATTCTGGGGCCCGTTTCAGGTTCCAGCCTAGCAAGTCACTCGGCCCTACTCCGTATTATGTGTAGAGTTGTGACACCAGGCGCATCAGCACTGCAATTGATTCACCTAGGCTATCAGATGGTATCCCATTCGAGCAGACCTTCCCGAGCGTTTTGCAAGATCATATTGTTCAAGAGGCTTTTCGGCCGGCCGTATCAATAATCCAAAACGTGCCAACCTGATACCACAGACCAATCTTGGACAAAAACTTCGTAAGACTAAGCTGGCACAGTGGAATAAGTCTCATCCGTTAATCAAAAATCTATTTCCTGGTCGAGCCTCGAAACCGAAGAATACACAAACAATGTTGCAAACTCAGATCAAATATTGGCCTAGCCAAAATCCAGACCTCCATCCTTTCCGTGTTTAGACGACCTTCTAGAAGGGCGCACTAGAAGGGGGCTTGGATGAGACTATGAGTAGGCTTGAAGCCGGCGGGGTCCAAAATGTTCCCTTCATGGAACCGTGACCCTAGTCCACCCACCCCCTCCAGCCTCAAAACTGACCCTTAGCCGCAGCATCACGATAACCTTATTAGGAAATCGAGACGAATCCCCATCCCAAACAACATCACACCTGCCGCTTAGTCAGTACGGCCGTGAAGACAGAAACCACACACAACCACACAATAGACAATTCTAGCCTTGAACTTTATGTGTATGAGCTAGTTTTGTTTTGACACTATCCGAAACGATCTGCGGGCGAGACGCTCATTCCTGACACTGTTCTCGCACGAGCAGAGAGACTCACGTGGCGGAGTCTTTCCTGAACGATGCTCAGTTGTGAGCGTTAATGGACTAGGGCTTAGGATACTGGAAATCTCTGATGAAAGATCTCGACCTATGCTGACGCCTCGTAACTGGTCTAGAGTGTTCTGCCAGCAGCATCCGTCCAGACACAGTCCCGGTCAGAGACTGTCTTTGGAACTCGGCCCTACAAGGCTAACTTGCACTTGCACGATGGATCCATCCTCATGGGTTCCTTTTGCCTATCTGGGCTTCTGATGGGCACATCTTTCGGCTATTGCTCGCCGGAGAATACTAGTACATGGTCTACTTACTGTACGGCACATGGTCCCGGTCGTTTGCTTCAAGACGCATTGGCCCAAGCGAGCAGAGATCACAAAAATAACTAGACTATCGGCAGATCATGCTGGTCAATGGAAACTTCCGTGCATATGCCCAAAAGGTACAAGCTAGTCGACACATTTGATCGTTCGTAGAACGAGCTAAGCGTCGGACGTGTTTGTTTCTCGTGGCTGAGCAGAATACGACAAAGCTCCATACTAGCCGCGGCTTGCCACCATCACACAACAGACACAAAGTTCATTACTGCAATTCAAAGCCGCTCAGTTGCGGGAAGAAAAAGTCTGAGACGAGGAAGGAGAATGCTCCTCTGCCTACTGATGATGAGAAAAGCGGGAGTGATCGAAAACGGCAAGGGCTCGGGGTAACTGTAGGAGGAGTGATGTCTTCACGACGTATTGCAGATCTCTCCACCATTACCTCAGCAGAACTTTTTTGAAGTAACTCAATTGTTGCCATCGAAATCGAATTGACTTTGCCATGTTCATCTACCAATTGCATCTGACGCACAAATCAGAACCAGGAATGCATGCAGATAATTCCCTCAAACACACAAAAAAAGATCAATACTTGCTCACATTAGTGGCGATAGTAGCATTCGTCCGTCCAAAAGTCAATATCATACATCATGTTGTTACATCGTCAATCGCATCTCAAAACATAGCAATCATCATAGTCCCCGCCCGTCAACTAGACACAGCATTTACTCATCAGGAGTCTCCTGGTCGTACTGGGATTTCGAACCGCCCTTCTGTCCCGCAGCACGGGCTTTGGGGTCGCCGGGCTTGAAGCTTCCGCTGGAAGCGTGGCCGCCCTGGGAGGCGATGTTGCGCTGAGATACTTTGTTAGAATTGTCGAGTTCCCGGGTTTGACATGTAGAGATAAGATGGGGGATCAGGACATACCTGCTTCTCCGGATCCATACTCGCAAATCCGCCGGCGTGGCTCGACTGGCCGCCCTTGCGGGCGATGTTCTGAACCTCCTCGTGGGAGCGGTTGGAGAAGTTTCCGGGGTTGGTGTTGGAGGCCATGGTGTTGGTTTGTGAAATAGTGTATAGTTGGCTCGTGTGGTAAGGTTATTTTGGTATGTTGGGATAGATTGGTTATTCCTTGGATTAAATTGAGGTTCTGGTTATGCTTGAGCTGGTCCTTATAAGTGTTCCGGGCAACGAGGATGAAGTCATGATGTTGTCCGTTTGACATCAGATTTTGAAACTTGTCGAAAAGAAGACTTTGGGGCGTCGTGATGCAAGAATCATATCATTTATTGTTCTCGGATGGCTGATCGATCGATCTCATTCTTGTTGTTCGGTTGCCACGCGGGGAGATCGAGGCCCTCTATCCGTGGTCGCCGATGGGAGAGCTTAGGTACAGTACCTTGTTTCAATCATCATTATCACGTTGGATAATGTTATGCTTGGGTGTGCTCGATCGTGAGAAATGATCGAATACGTCCAATGCAGTATGGAGTACAGGATAGACGGTTGATGCGGTAAGGCAGGTGTAGATTGCAGTATGTCATTGGAACATGTCGTCATTGGTGGTGAGCGAGCTGCATGGAGGTACTCATTGTTCTCAGGCCGGGGTAGACGTAGATTGACTTGTAGCGAGACAATAGACAATGCATGGCAGATTCGAGGCCTCTTATGTTCGACTGGTTCAACAAAACCACCAGGGCTTTCGGGAATGCTATAACTTCAACGACGAGATCAAAGAGCCATCTTTCAAGATTCAAGACTCGAGCTGGTTTAGTGTTGACCTGTGCATATCTCACTTGGACACACAAACTGTGGTATCTGCTTTTAAGTCATTGGCGGCATTTGATGCTCTTCAATATTCAGTCAGCTTGTCAACTACTGTCCTTACATGCACCAGTTAGTTCCATGGCTGGGTGCTCGATCATAGTAAAGACTCTCTTCGTCGCTGAAACCTACTTTATCTAAGCGAGTCAGCTTGGTATCAACGCTTCTTTGCATCTTCTGGTCTGTCGCGTCGACTTCGGCTACCCGGTGGTCCATGAAGAACATGCCTCAGTTACTGTCTTGGTTCTTAAAAGGCAGCCATGATGGTACGCCAGTTGACGCAAACCAGCATATCGTCTTTGAGAGATCTTGACTCATCCTTTTCAGAAGAAGGTCGGAAGAAGTGTCGGTCCTGTTTTCATACAACACTGGCCGAATACTCGCAACCATGTCCTGAAACTCAGTCTAGATGGAACAGCGCCCAAGTCTTCTCCTGAACCAACCTATGCACATCAACATGAATGGCAACGTCAAAGAGGACCGGAAAATGACTGCTGCAGGAAAGTCCCTGTGCTCATCCTGTGTTCAGAGCAAAGCCTTGGCCGTCAAGGGGCGAAAGCCAATCCATGATGGATACGCAGCGGCTATTCCTCTTTCGGACCCCGACGGCACTTTCCATAGTCTTGAGAGAGACATCATCAGAGAATGATTAACATCCGGTTGACTCAAAGGACCAAGACAGTGGAGTTTAGTCTCCTTGAGAAACACTCTGAATCATTTTCTTAGTCAATGCTGAATGAGTTTTAGACTTGGCAACGGGATTCACATTGTCCATTGCTCGCTTGCATGAACTACGTGGACGATGTATATATACAGGCAGCATACCATGAGACAATCTCCAGAGACACTGCGTTCACCACTCACAAGAGAATCAATATTGCTTGATAAATTTCACTCTCTTATCTCTAATATACCCTCACCATTGTTGTCCTTACCTTGATGATTATCATGCATCCCACAATAATCGCAACTTGCAAGCAAACCCGCTTCCACGTCCTTGATCAAGCCTCAAAAGAGGTAGCTTTTCCTCACCCATGTCTATCTGCATTCAAGCGTTTATATCTAATCCTAGCTTCATGGTTACGATAGGTGGATGTAGAAGGAATCACCATTGCGGTATCATCGACACAAAACCATGCCGAATCCGCCGCCACAGACCTCAAATCGAAACGAAAGGCCAAGGCTGAAGCGAAGGAACTGATCTCTGATGCGCATCTGCGTCTCAAAGCAGGTTTGCACTATGGACTAGTAGGTCGTAACGGGACCGGAAAGTCAAGTGCGTTGTCTACCAATGTCCTCACGGGCCCGGGTCATCCGTGGCAGGACGGCCCATGAACGAATACTGATTTTATCTTCGATAGCACTACTGCGAGCTATCGCCGACAAGTTGGTACCTGGGATCCTACATGCTACGCGCATTGCTATCTTGCAGCAGACGGATGACGGCAGTGATGAGGAAGCTCAAGAGGATAGGAGCGACAAGAGACAGCGTCTACCGGTCGTGGAGTATGTGCTGGCAGGCGATGAATATAAGAATGAGATCATGAAGAAGATGAATAGTGAGTCCCGCGAATCCTCGCATTTTGTATCCGCGCCGCAGTGTTCCTGACCTATACACCCTTCAAGTCTTGTCTAAGAGTTTCGAGTCCGACGATCCGCTACAGCCTGTGAAGGCTATTCGCACAGTACGCCATGATGATGTGGAGAAGCAGCTCTTCCTAGCACAGAAGATGGCCAGTCTGAGGAGTGGAGCGCGAGGGTTACAAGCACGGAAAGAATTGAGATCCGCTGAAGCGAGATTGGAGGCATCGCTGGAGTTGTAAGTTCCAGGATTCGTTCAGGATCTGAGTCAAGAAGGAATTGAGCTAAAGACATTTCTTGCTCTAGGTTAAACCAGGCGAAGGAATCTATCGATGTCGACACGATACAGAACGACACGCAAGCAGCAATGGAGGTTCTGCAAGAGTTGCAGTCCAAGGTTGAGGCTGTGAGTTTCGATATCATCTCAACTTGACCATTACTGATCACCGAATGCTTTAGATGACGCTTGTCGATACTGAGCAGCAAGCTTGTCAGAGCCTTCGTGGTTTAGGATTCCACGAAGAGATACTTTGCAAGCCTGTTAGCCAGTTGTCCGGCGGCTGGCGGATGCGATGCATGCTGGCTAGCGTGTTGATACAATCTCCCGATATCATGATCCTCGACGAACCGACCAACTATCTCGATCTCTTAGGAATCATTTGGCTGGAGAACTATCTCCAAGGGCTCCGTGAAAGTTCGCATACAACAGTTCTCATGGTCTCGCACGATAGAGATTTCGTGAATGCCGTCTGCGAGGAGATTATTATCCTCAGAGACCAGAAGCTTACCTACTTCAGAGGAAACCTGTCTGCGTACGAGAAAGACGTCGAAGACCAGAAGCTACGCTGGGGCCGCATGAAGGAAGCACAGGAACGCCAAACTGCACACATGGAGGCCACCATCCGCGAGAACATCAAGGTAGGCAAGAAGACAGGTGACGAGAACAAATTACGTCAGGCCAAGTCGCGACAGAAGAAGATTGACAATCGCATGGGCGTACAAGTTAGTGCCAACGGCGGCCGTTTCAAGCTGAATCGGGACCTGGTTGGTTTTCACCTGACCGCGCGGGCAGAGATCGAGGTGCCAGTGGACGAGAGAAAACCGTCCATTGTTCTACCCTCAGCAACCGAGTTACGATTCCCCGGTCCTTTGGTCTCTATGGAAGGAATTGGGTTCCGATACAACAAGCAGCAGGCTTCTGTGCTTGATGGTATCGAATTGGTGATACACATGGGAGATCGTGTGGGCATCATGGGTCTCAACGGATGCGGAAAGTCGACGCTGATACGTCTCTTGACTGGCAGCGCAGCACCGACACATGGCAAGATATTGAGACATCCGAGACTGAAGCACGGGTACTATGCACAGCATTCGATCGAAGAGCTTCAGGAACAAGGCCGGTCGAAGCTTGATATGACGGCTTTAACGCTGATGGCATCAGAGGTCAATGGCGCACTCAATGAAGGCGAACTCAGAGGTCTTCTGTCATCATTAGGTCTCCAGGGTAGAGTTGTGTCTGATGTACCCGTCTGTCGACTTTCAGGAGGCCAACTAGTAAGTGACATATCAAAACCCCAACCTTCTGCCATAGTTAATTAAACAACTCTAACCGATTAGGTTCGACTAGCTTTGGCGAGGGTCATTTGGACCCGTCCACAGCTATTAATACTGGATGAAGTTACAACCCATTTGGATTTCGATACCGTGACGGCTCTTTCTGCTGCACTTTCTAGTTTCGATGGGGCTATCTTGCTTGTGTCCCATGACCGATATATGGTACGTTCCGTGATTGAAGGCAAGCGAGCTCTGGAAGAGGGCAGAGACGAGGAATCTGAGGAGGACAAGGCATCGACTACATTCTCCAGCCAACGACGTGTCGTACATGTACTGAAATCAGGAAAGCTCCGAGAGCAAGAAGAAGGTGTGTGGCAGTACGAACGAAGCTTGGCGAAGGCAGTTCAAAAAATGCTGCCAGCGATGAGCTAGGGGGCTGCTCTGTAGTTTCGTGTGCTAAGGGGTCAGATAGTCACATTAATACGAGTATTCTGCTTAGTAGATCCGACGTTATTATTGTCAAATGGTCGATGTCAAGAAAAGATATACTGATAGCACGTGACCCACCGGTTAGCGGCAAACCCCGAAAACCCGCGGAGATGGCGGCGAATCCCAGCGCCCGCGATGATAAGACATTCCCCCTCAGCCATTCATTTAACAAACACCTCTCGAGTCCCTGCTTTCTTCACCTGCATGCACCCGCACCTGTATAGCGCTTCGCAGGTACAGCAAGATGCCAGGATCTGATACCCGCTGAAACGAGATCCGTGTCGAGGATGAATGAACTCTTGTTGCGCAGGCGGGGAGTTGCGCCCCTTCTCTCACTTCCCCGCAGATGTCGTCCCCGAACGAGCACGCTTATTCGGCCACACTTTCGAAGGCACAATACAACCTCGAACCCAGTCTCGGTTGATCGACCCAACGCATCAGACTCACTCACGACAACGTTGTCCACTACTGAAATCTCCCCGTCCTCGACGTCCTCCGCATCGCGATTGTCGGCTCTCAAGTCCGCGAAACCCTTCTCGGAGTTCCTCACTGATAGCTTCAACCGCCAACATGATTATCTCAGAATAAGCGTGACCGAGCGCTGC